ATTATTTATTATACAATTATCATATTATATCATATTTATTTTCGCCTATTTTTTTCCGTTTTAATACATAAGTAAGCATACATACATGTGTTATACTTACGTTATATAATATGCTTGACGTTGTGCATGGGTATAGTAAAACACTGTGTAAATGAGTAAGTGCATGTAATAGTAAATGACGTCATGCTTGTGTATAGCACGTGACACACACACGTGTTGCGGGTGAAAACGTCACTATATTTACCTTTCTCACCAACCCTAACCCGGTACTTACTGAAAATGGGGGGTTAGGAGAGAAATTGTAATGTACGTAGACCCATATTTGGAATCTGCAATATGGAGCCTCCAGAAGGAACTCTCCGCAAACCTTTCTGTAAACAGTAATAAATAGAAAAATGGAAAGAATTTAAGATGGAAAATTCATAACTCCTTATCTTCCCCACACAGAAACAATAAGGGGGACATCAACGTAACGGTCCCCGATCATGCGCTCGCACACACGCCCACATACCCCGATGCCTGCATGCCGATTGTTTTTAGCGCCGTACACCGATCCGCGCACCATTGAACGTATCCACCCACCATCTTTGTTTATGAGGGGGAATGGGTACAACGACCTGACACCGGTGACAAGTCGCGTCGAGGAGGAGGAGGAGGAGGAGGAGGAGGAGGAGGAGGAGGGTGGTGGGAGGGGGAAGCTACTCCGCCCCCTCCCCGCTAGCGGATAATGAAGGATGAGTGACGGACCTGTTTTGCTGCACGCAACATCCACGTCGCGGCGTCCTATTGACGTTCCATCGGCGACGTTGCATTGTCAACGTTGAACTTACAGGCGCCGTGTGCATCGCCAGATCGTCTGCGGCGTGTCGCGGGAATGGGTCAACACGCGGGAGTCACGCGGGGGTCACGCAGAGGTCACGCTCCCGCGTGGATGAGTGCAACAAGCGTTGTCGTGACGAGAATGCATTCTGAGCGCCATGACAGTTCTGGGGTCCATTGTCTCTTGTTTGGCAAAATAAAATTAGTCTTAACATTAGACTTAGCGTGAACTTTTGCTCGTGGAAGATTGTCCGAAGCAAAATTTGTCTTAACGTTAGTTTCAAAGTGAACTTTTTCTCTATGACCGGCCCACTATACACTGCGTATGAGAAACTCGCAACTTTATCATGTTTCTGTCAACGGTCTCTGAGAAAAAGATTTAAGAATAATGTTTCTCATGTTAATATTAATTTTGTTTCTGACAACCAGGCCCTTGGCATTTAGATACGAAATCCGCATGCAAGAGCGATTCTTCCTTTGAAATTGGGAAAATGTTGGAAGGCAAAGAATATTTATATATATATATGTGTGTGTTATTATTATGCTATGCGCTATCTGTTGCCTTTGGCACTATTAAACATTCTGAGATTAGGCGAAATAGGATGTAGACGAAATGGGAAGTAGAGCAACCAAGATGCTACCAACAATTTTATGTTCCAACGTATAGACAGCCGCGCCGCCAGCCGAAATCATATCATGCGTCACATTTACAACCGTACTTGCTATAAACCGGTAATCCATGATACACGTGTAGATTATGTACGTGTGGCAATCAGATATCTTCCTATAGGCATATAAAGCCTTCTCACGCTGTGCTTTTTCCGAACAGTCGTGCTTTGTCCGGTCATTTCCGAATTGCAACACGTCCCAATCAAACCTGTGATGAGAAAGAATGGGGAGGTACTTCGTCGCCACAGTCTGTAAGCAGTGTAAATGCCTGCTTTACTTGTAAGGTTGTAAAGTCAGACGCCATTGAGCAAAATCACGCAGGGGAAATTAAAGGGTTGAATTAAAGACAAAAATTTAAAGATGGCGCGCAGACGTTACCGAATGAACTGTAGGTCAAGTTACGCACACAACGATTACTTGTTAACCACGAGTTCCGATCCAGTGCCGTTAACTCATGCTTACGTGATAATTCCTACGATCGCCATAACGCCATAACCACGAACGCTATCTCCATAGCCATGCATACAATTAAGAGCTAATAAATACTCTTGATACAATCGCCATCCACGAATCGCTATATTGCACTCTAGTAGTATATTACCAGACTGGGTTATGACGAAAAATTGCATCATTTGAGTCACATATCATGCTTTATATTACACCGATTCAACAATTTTTCTAACAGTCATTAAATGTTACAATTTGTTTAAAACGAGTAGTTCTCCGCCAATATCCGGGGCATCAGATCTATAGTCATAGTCAGTATCGTATTCACGCGTGCACTTAATTAAAGGTGAGCCATGCTCCAGCGTAGAAATTGCACCAGACGACGCAATTTCACTCCCAACGTTCGGTATAGATACTGACCCGAACACACATCGCATAATAATAATGTTTACCCGGCATGGCATGTACAGAGGCACTGTTATTGTTTTCAATTTAGGTCTGTGTGGGTTTCGCCTACAGAACCTGTGTTCATGTGATCTGTTTTTGGTGCAGTAAATCGCCCGACAAATTAAAGACAACGCTGATTGCAGTGGTTTATTCTGACAGGGAGGGAAGGAAAGGGAATGGGTGGGAAGGAAGGGAAAGGGACGGTAAGGGAAGGGAAGGGAATGGAAGGCAAGGAAACGAAATGGTCAAATATATTACCTATAAATATAATGTCTGTATCATGTAGCTGCTACAATCCCATTATAGTGCTAACTTCCTTCCCCCCTCTCTCTCTCTTTTCTGTCTTTCTCTTCATCGCCTCATTCTCTCTCTCTCGCTCTCTTCTCTCTCTCTCTCTCTCTCTCCTCTCTCATCTCTTACCTCCTCTCTCTTTCTGCTTTCCTTCTTTCTCTCTCTCTCTTCTCTCTTACCTCCTCTTCTTTCTTCTCTCTCTCTCTCTCTGCTGTGTATATAATCCGTTATTTCTCGCATAAACACAGCTCAAACAGAATTTTCTGTAAAGCTTGCCTCTACTCGAACGTGGGCTTTCGCGGTGATGTCCACACATAATTTAACAGAAGATGTCGTCACGGATAACGCACCTCTCACTATCCGTCCGCCCCTGAGAACATTATTTACTCAACTCTGTAACATATATATTTCTCTCAACCTCTGTACATATATATTACCACATCATAAACAACTCTGGTACATATATCGTTACATCTCAACTCTTACATCTAATATACTCATATAAGTAACATATATAATTCTCCCTCGTAATCTGTACATCATTGTTACTCTCAACTCTGGTGTAGCATATAGTATTACTGGCTCAAACTCTGTACATATATATTAACTCTCAACTCTGCTACATATATATTACTCTCACTCTGTACATATATTACTCTCAACTCTGTACATATATATTACTCTCAACTCTGTACATATATATTACTCTCAACTCTGTACATATATGCTTACTGCTCAACTCTGTACATATATATTACTCTCAACTCTTGTACATATATATTACTCTCACTCTGTACAATATATTATTACTCCTCCACTCTGTACATAGTATAGTTACTCTCAACTCTTGTACATACTATATTATCGTCACTCTGTACAGTATATATTAACTCTGCAACTCTGTACATTATATTACTCTCACTCTGTACATATATATATCTCCAACTCTGTACATATACTATTAGCTGGTCAACTCTGTAGCATATATATTATCTGCACTCTGTACACTAGTATATAGCTCGTCAAACTCTGTACAATATATATTACTCTCACTCTCCTATATATAATGATTACTCTCAAAACCTGTACATATCTATTACTCTCGACCTCTCTCTATATATATATATTATCTCCAACTCGTCTGTACATATATATTACTGCTCAACTCTCTCTATATATATACTATTACTCTCGAACTCTGAACATATATATTACTCTCAACTCTCTCTATATATATATATTATCTCAACTGCCTGTACCTATATATTTACTTACTCTCAACCTCTGCTACCTATATATTACTCTTCGAACTCTGTACATATATGTATCTCAACTCGTACAATATATATTACTCTCACTCTGTAGCATCTATAATTTACTCCACTTGGCATATATGTTACTCTCAACGTCTGTACATATATAATACTCTCAACTCTGTACATATATATTACTTCTCACTCTGTACATATACACAAGGAAGCAGGAAAGAAGAATGATTTACAACACAAAGCCCCCTCTCACTCTGTACATCTATATTACTCTCAAATCTGTAAAAATATAATGTTACTGCTCACAACTCCCTGTACATATATATTCTCTCACTCTGTACATATATGTTCACTCTCAACTCTGTGACACTATATGATGACTCTAAAGCTCTGTACATATAATATACTCTCACTCTGTAGCATATATGTTACTCTCACTCTGTACATGATTATATTATCCTCAATTCTGTAGCATATATATTACTCTGCAACTCTGTACATATAATGTTACTCTCACTCTGTAGCATATATATTACTCTCACTCTGTACATGATATGTTACATGTCAACTCTATAATTATATATGTTACTGTCAACTCTATATATATGTACTGTCAACTCTCTCTATATATATATGTTACTCTCACTCTGTATCATATATGCTCTCTAATCTGTACATATATGGCTCTCAACTGTGTGACGGCACGGGGCGATACCGTGCGGTACGGCGTGGCCGACGAAGAGAGCGTTGATGACGGGCCATGGTCTTGTTCCCGCATTGTTACACGCGCGATCGGGCAGTAATCACCCTGGCAGACGAGCAAGCCACGAGCAAACAGCCGCCGGGGGCATTGTCGGAGATATTGGTGTGTACGCTGCAGTCGAATCGTCCGAACTGACGGAAGTTTGTCGTGTCAAATCTACGTGACGTACTGACCGCCCAGGGTCACTATTCGGCGCTATTGAAATACCCCTATAAAAGGTGCGAGCAAAACAAAGCTGGCAATCACTATATCGGCGTCCGTGGCATGCCTTTATTTGACTGGGACTCATGTGAAGAAATAGATAAAAAGCGGGCGTATAACGTCGGAGAGGTAAGAAGCAGCGATATAATTATAACACTTTTAGACTCGTATATAATCGATTAATTTACGCATTCGTAGGCATGCGCGCATGCACCACACCTACGTGTGTAGTACACGGCCGGCGTGCGTGCGAGAGCGCGTGAGGTTTTTAATGTAGACGTATATTGTATTCATTTTATTATTATTGTTTTAATTAGTGAACCATTTATTCGGGTGTTTCATATTACGGTCATTGCACAGTAGTATTTACTTATCAAGGCAGCGCAAATATGCCTTATATACAATATGTTATCATCGTTCTTCTATATTATTATATCATATTACTATAATTGTTATATATATTATAAATTTTTTATTATATTATACTCTATTTTTATCCTACTTATCGGACTTCAGGGGGGGTGTGTGTGATGATACTGCGTGGACGTGGGGAGGAGGGAGGAGGGGAGGGGGAGGGGGTGACCTTCCGTGAGAATCAGGAAAACACAAGCGCGCTGGGCTTTTGGACTTGAGCGGTCCTGCGTACACATCACGGCAGAAAGTCTCACGTCGATGTGACACGGAGCCGCCCTGCTCCCCTTGACCGGGTCCAGCGTTTAGGCAACTAACTTCTACCACGACGCGTTCCACGCCGGGGCAAGCCGTGTAACGGCGTCCGTGGTGTGCGTGTGCGTGTGTGTGTGGTGCTGTGTGTGTGTGTGTGTGTGTGTGTGTTGTGTGTGCGTGTGTGCGTGCGTGGGTGGCGGCGCGTGTTAGGCGCGGTGCGTGTGTGTGTGTGAGGGGGGGGGTGATGTGTGTGCTGTGTGTGTGTGTGATGTGTGTGTGTGTGCGTGCGCGCGTGTGTGTGCGCGCGCGTGTGTGTGCGTGTGTAACGTGCCGTGTGTGTGTGTGTTGTGTGTGTGTGTGTGTGTGTGTGTGTGTGTGTGGTGTGTGGTGTGTGTGGTGTGTGGTGTTGTGTGCGTGCGTGTGCGTGTGTGTGTGTGCGTGCGCGCGTGTGTGTGCGCGGCGTGTATGTGGGTGTGTAACAGGTGCCGTGCGTGTGTGCTGTGGCGCGTGTGTGTGCGTGCGTAGTGCGTAGTAGGTTCGTACGTGGACCTGTTGGCGGGTGCGGGTGTAGGGGTGGGGTGCTTGAGCTCCTCGATGGTTGTGGTGCCGGAAGTTCACACTTTACGGCGCGGCGTCAGGTTTGTTTTCTATCAACCTGCGCTCCTGTCGCGGTTAATCGACCATCGCGCCAAGGCGGCGGTGGCCGACGCGGGCGCGACCGTGTAAAAACGGGGCGAGTGAAAGTCTGGCGCAGTGTGCGGCTGGCTGAGAGGGAGGGATTGGTAAGGGGCGGAGGGATGGGTGAGTGGGATGGGAGAGATGCACGAGGCCGTTTCCCGCGTAATGCTGTAAACGCTCGTAGACATCGCCTGAACTTTTGTGCACGGGGGGCATGCGCGCTCAGAAAGAGAGCGAGAGCGGAGAGAGAAAGAAAGAGAGAGAGAGAGAAAGGAGGAACAGAAAGAAGCGAGAGCAGAGGAGAGACGAGAGAGAGAGAGAGAGAGAGAGAGAGAGAAAGAGATAGAGCGAAAGAAAGAGAGAGAGAGAGAGAAAAAGAAGAGAAATAGAGAAGAGAGCGAGAGAGAGAGAGAGAGAGAGAGAGAGAGAGAGAGAGAGAGAGTTTAGAAGAGAGAGAGAGCGAGAGAGAAAGAAAGCAGAGAGCAGAGAGAGTAGAGCGAGGGGAAGGAGAGGGGGGAAGGAGAGGGAGGGGGAGAGGGGAGAGGGGAGGGCGAGAGGAGAGAGAGACGAGGAAGAGCAGAAGAAGAGCGGAGAGAGAAGAGGCGAGAGGAGAGCGAGAAGCGAGGGGCGAGAGAGGAGCAGTGGGAGCAGAGGAGAGGGAGAGGGGGAAGGAGAGAGGGGATAGTAAAATATATAAATACTATAAATCAAGACGCGGATAATACCATCAGAGTGTACCCAGGAAATATACGGGAAAAAGTGCTATTTCACGCTACAATTATTCTACTTGCCTGCGAGTATAGCATAACTTTCATGGTATTGCATTAAGCAGAATTCTTTGCTCTGCTAAAACAAGACCAACCGCTTGTCATACGATACTCCTAGGCGGAGATATCG